GGTGCTCCACAGTCAGGACACCCTGTCCACGGGGAACGCCTTTTAAGGCAGACTGACATACTCGTTTACTATTCCGATAAACCTGATCTCAAATTCTTTCTGTAGAATCTGTGTTTGGCCTAAATCAAAATTGGAGGGGAGAAAAATTAAGTCCTCCAAATGCTTGGCTCCTTCTTTTGCATATCATAATACATATTATTGATCAATCACAATGCTTCCCCATAAACTATTAATGTATGACACAGGAATAACATGCTTAACATAAACATATCTTTATTTGGGGTGGGGGGCTCGTACAACTCTTATCACAATTCATACATCCATCCATTGTGTCAGGCATATTTGTACCTTTGTTGCCATCCTATTTTCAAAACATTTTCTTACTACTTGAGCCCTTGGTATCAGCTCCTCATTTTTCCCCTCCTTCCCCCTCCCTCTCTCATGACCCCTTGATAATTTATAAATTATTATTTTTTCATATCTTACATTGTCCAATGTCTCCCTTTACCCCCTTCCCTGTTGTCCATCCCCCTGGGAGGTTATAGGTAGGTCACTGATCGGTTTCTTTTTTCTCCCCACATCTTCCCCTTACCCTTCTGGTATGGCTACTTTCAATATTGGTCCTGAGGCCTTTATCTATACTGTATTCTCTGTGTTTCCAGCTCCTATCTGTACCCGTGTACATGCTCTGGTCTAGCCAGATTTGTAAGGTAGAATCAGGGTCATGATAATGGGGGGTGGAGGGAGGAAGCATTAAAGAGCCAGAGGAAAGCTGTGTGCTTCAGTGGTGCTATACTGCACCCTGACTGGCCCGTCTTCTCCCCGTGACCCTTCTGTAAGGGGATAAACATATCTTTATTAACATAAAAGTATTCAATGAATTTAGAAGGCCTTCATTTTCTTTTTTACCCAATGATTGATTTATTATAGCTTTCCATAAGTATGATTTATATTCCATTAAACTCATAAGTACAAGGGCTCTGTTAAAAAAATGAAAATGCTCTAAAATAGATAATAGTAATGGTTGCAAAACTCTATAATTTTATAAAAATGATTGAAATAAATACCCCCTGCTTATCTATCAACATGGTTAGGTTCCAAAGATCTGGTCATTCCATGAAATAGGCATTATGCAAGAACTGGGAGCAGTGGTCTGTCTGCCAGTGTTCACCCTACCCCAATTTCGTACTGCCTGACAGACGCTCCCTGCTCCATGCATTTCTCACAGTGTGCATGGCACAGACCCCTTCTCAATCACCAAAGAGCCCATGGGGATTAGCAGTGGTGCTGGGGGACAGGGGTTGCCTACCACCTGCCCTTTCCTGCCATATGCCCCAGGTGGGAGTCCTGCTCATCCTCTTCCTGCTGTCACCCTGGACTGAGACCCTGTTCATCTTCCCATCTGCTCTAGCCCAATGATCCCAGGTTACCCTGCCCCCCGGCCTACCACTGGTCTTCCCAGTACCTTCGGGTCCTCACCTATTATAACCCGATTCTGTGGCCTCATATCATCCCACCACTGTCCCACAGTCTTTGTGGCCAGGTTAAGATATGGCAGACAAATGGAAAAGATGTCCTGCAGCTGGTCAGCCACCATCCTTCGCATGGCCCAATCATAAGGCCGGGACCATCAGAAGTGCTGAAAATTTTTTCAAAGTTACCATAAATGCAAAATGGTAGAAAACAACATAATAGAGAAGTAGGTGCACACTCAAACGGTCTGCAAGATTTTGAGCACTGGAAGCTTCTCAAAAGGATGGGTCTCCTAAGAGAAAAGGTAGCTTTTCTATCTCTGACTTTATTGGGATGTACGGAAATGAGGACCTAGACATAGATTTCTTCAAACACTATTTATTGTACACTTCTCAAGGAACTGTTAGAGATTTAAAGATGAATAACTCAGATTTTGTTGGCAGAAATTTAAATAAAATAAGAAAAACAAGTGCTACATAAGACTGAATGCAGTGACACTTAAATATAAAGTCTTTTATTTCAACTTACCTCCCATAAATGCCTTCAATTAGAAATATATGACTTCCAAATGGTAGTACTGCCAGGTAAGCATTGGACTGGTAACCACAAGGTTGGGAGTTCAAACCCCACCAGCCACTCTAAGGGAGACAGATGTGAATATCTGCTCCCATAAAGACTCAGAGCATTGGAAAGGCTATACAGGGTCCTTATGGGTCAGAACTGACTCGATGGCATAGGCGGTGTGCTTTTTAAAACAGACTGCAAATTCCAAGCAGGCAGGGACTGTATCTGAATCCCCCCCAGCAAGCATAGCACCCCGAATGGACTAACATTACGTAACGATGTCCCCCGAAAGACTGCAAAGAAGGTAAGAAAGAACAAAAGTAATGCTTTTGCAAATAAGAAAAATGTCTTTCTGCTATGCAACTAAGAAAGAAAACAGAAGTCTGGGAGGAGTTCAGGGTACAAGGGGAAGGAAAAGGAAGACCAGAATGAGACAAGTTTGGGGAGTGTAAAATGCACTCACTGGTCGGGGAGGTAGACTGTACAGAAGAGAAAAGAACCCCAAATAGTCAATCCATACAACTCATTCCAAAGTTTCCCAATTAATTTTTGTTTTGTATTACCCAATTTGCCACCTCAATTTCTCTTCTTTAGCAGTGCTCTGTGTATCAAGCAAAGTGATGAATTTCATAAAACCCTGGTTTTGTATATTACCAATTTATCCCAACTCCACTCTGGCTGATTTATTTCAGAAGTATAAAATCTCTGTAGATGATAAATATCCCAAGCTCACATTACTAAAATAACCAAATATAAATAAAAATGTGATGAATATTTGAGTTTCTTTCATTTAAAAAGACCACATAATGAAAAATATACACAACCGAGCTATATTTTTGGCGTACACACAAGGCATCTACGCAGACCCTTGCTTTATAACACTTTCCATTCAAAATACTAATTCATCCATCCCTTTCCAAGATGACTGCTGCCAAGAGTTGTATATGACTGCAAACCGAGTGAAAACTTTCCTTATTTGATTTGATTATGTTATGTGGATAAAAACGTCATTTAAATAGAAGGGGAAACATATACATGTGTCTGTGTATATTCATGCGTGCGTACACACATACGCGCACACGCCAGAAGATCCCTGGTGTCCCCATTTATAAACTATCAAGGGCTCATGCGGGAGGGTGGAGCGGGGAGGGAGGGGAAAAATGAGGACCTAATGTCGGGGGTTTAAATGGAGAGAAAGTGTTTTGAGAAACGATGTACAGATGTGCTTTGCACAGTTGATGTGTGTATGGATTGGGATGACAGTTGTATGAGCCCCTAATAAAATGTTAAAAAAAAAAAAGATCCCTGGTGTCACAGTGGTTACATATTGGGCAGTTAACTGCACAGTCAGCAACTCACAAGCACCAGTTACAGTCTCAGAAACGCACAGGGGCAGTTCTATCCTGGCCGAGAGTTCTTTGGACCCTTTCTAAGATCGCAGTCTGGGACCCCATGAGGCAGTTCCACCCTGTCAAAGAGGGTCATTCTGCTCAGAATCACGTCAGCCGCAATGGGTTCGGTTTGGTTATCAGTATCAGTAAGTAATTCAGAGGAGGAGGAAGCAACAAATCAGTAACAATACATATCCTTTATCCTGGAAGACCTCACATTTTAATTAGCAATGTAGGATCTATTCATCAAAATAGGGGAACAAATGAGCAATAAAATGTAATAGGTAAGAAATGTCCAAAATGAGGTCAAACATGACACATATACATGGGCCCGACTGTGTCTGACTTATACCCACATGGTATCTAATAGTCACCTGGCTCTGCATCCCCACCTAAATCAGTATGCATCAAGTGTTTTGTCACCAACTCCAACTCATAGTGACCTCACATACATCAGAGCAAAACTGCACCCCTAGATTTTGCAACAGCTGGCCTCCAGAAGTGCATCACCAGTCTGCTAGTGGACTCAAACCTTGACCTTCAAAGTAATAACATGTTCATTCCTACTGTCCATCAGGCTTTCTAGGTAGGGGTTCTGAAAAGAGTGTGTAACAGGGTACAAACAAACAGGCCTGATTTGTGGCAGAAGGGAGACTGATTTTGCCACCACGACAGTGCACCTGCTCACACAGCCATCTCAGTGCACCAATTTTTGGCACAAACACCATGCCTTTCTTGCCCCACACACCTGGCTCATGTGACTTAACTGACTTCTTTTTGTTTCTGTGAATGAAGAGGGACATGAAAAGACAAAGATTTGTCGACGTAGAAGAAGTGAAGAAAAAAAAGAAAGGAGGTACTGCCAGCCATCCAAACAGATGAGTTTGAAAAATATTTCCAAGAATAGAATTGCAGATTTGACAAATGTATTAAGTGTAATGGAGAGTACTTTAAAGGTGATATGGTTGTTTGTAAAAAAAATTTAAATACATAGCTTTGGGGGAAAAAATCCGTTTTGAGGGGGTACCACCTCATATATTTTCCTTCTCCAATAATAAAATGGGAGATGCCATGGGAGTAGAAAATGCTAAACTTCTGATAGCTCTCAACGCAGGTGCAAATATACAGAGAAGTGGCGTATGAAGAATAGGATATGGATGCTGGGAGCAATTTTACAACAATCAATGCAACCTGGACTTTGGAGGCAGGAGAGTAAAGGAAGTAATACCTACTTAGTGTTTTACTCATTTTCTCAATAACTCTGAGTTACGTATTATCCTCCATTTAGATAAAAAAAATTTAGAAAGTGATGAGAGAAGAGGAAATTCCTCCTTGAATATTCCCCATTGGCCCAGGTGGCTCAGAACAACTCAGTCAACCAGACATATAATCATGACTGATTCAAAGATGACTACACTATTACAGAACTTCAAGAATAGCTGTGCACAAAAAGTAGAAACAAAGAAGGCATAAAAGAAAAATCTGAATTGACCGTTTTCTCGCTCTTAATCGGTGCCAACATTTCTAATCCACCTAGGAATCCAGTAAATATGAAAGCAAATGGGTGCTTACCTGTGACCGGGATGGTACATCGCTGTGTTGATTCCATGAGGGTAATAACTACTAAAGCTGAAACAGTGACTTTCTTGGTAGCTTTGATTTGTTCCAACACTAATTTGGTCAGGGGAAACAAGAAATAAATACCATTACATGGGGCGATACCACAAAACGCCCCAAAAATGTCTATACACACAAAAATGACACACACACCAAATACAGCCAAAGGCATAAAATGACCAGATTTCTGATCACATTATTGGTGGAATGTGCATGATACAACCACTTGAGAAAAATTAATTCTCATAAATTATTCTTATAAAATTGCAATAACCCAACCACCCAGCAGTTTTACAGTAAGACATTGACCCAAGAGAAATGAAAACCTGTGCCAGAAAGACTTGCACAGGGATGGTCATAACAGCTTCATTCACAAAACCCCAATGGAAACGAGGGGTCTGCCAACAGGAGACCGGGAAATAAACTGAAATGAAAAGCCCACACAAGAAAATAATTCAGCAATAACAAGAAACAAACGACTGATGAATGAAAGAATATTGATAAATTTCAAATTTTCATGGTGCAGTAAGAACTAGACCAAAAAGGTTTGGATTATATAATGCCACTAATGAGAATTACTAGAATGCACAAAATTAGCCTACAAGGAGGAAGAAGACCCTTGTACAGTGGTAGTTTGGGGGCAGGGGAATCGAATTGCAGGGCATGGGTGACCTTACTGGCATGATGGTAATGTTTCCAATCTTGATGGGGATTTAGACTGCACGTGCGTGAGAATTTATCATAACTAACCAAATGACACACTTAATGCTCCTTCTTCTAAGGTACAATTTACATGGACAATGTAACAATGCGCACATTGTTAATGTAAATCTTACGGCAAAAGAAGGAACATTGGTTATTTAAAGGGTTAAGACTTTAATTAATGATTTAACAAAAGCTGACCTCACTGTCAAAGAGTCCATTCTCACTCATCTGGATGCTATAGAGTGTATCCACAGCTGTCCATCTCTACGGCCTCATCTTGCTCCCCAGAGAGGCTGGTAGATTCGAACCACTTACCTAGTAGTTATTATCAGAGCAAACCTTAAGCCACAATACCACTCCAAAAAACCACTGTCATTGAGTCACAGCAGATTCAGAGACCATATAGAGCAGGGTGGACTGCCCCGGTGTGTTTCTAAGACTGTAACCCTTAATGGGAACAGAAAGCCCCTTCTTTCTCCTATGGAGTGGCTGGTGCTTTCAAGCTGCTGACCTTGAAGTTAGCAGGTCAACGTGTAGCCACTACACCATCTGGAAATAGTGATGAGCATGTTAGTGTCTGAATGCTAGTTTCTGCAATTCACTTAGAAATGCATCAAAAACAAGAGAGATAACGGCTAGCTAGATGAGTGCAACTGTGGGGTGACAAGTACAGTGAAATGCTAATTGGAGAACCATGATGGGAACAGAGGACTCTCAATGTATGATGCTTCTAGCCGGTCTACATTCTTTGTATCCTTTCATAATAAACTACTGGAAGGGAAAGAAAAACAGGATTAAAAATGGATACAAAACCAGAGAAATAAGCATTAGTTCAGAAAACACTTCCGAGACAAAGTCTATTTTTACCTTACAAGGTAACTTCTAAGTTCTCCTCGGTAATTGATGACCAAGAGTTCTGCAGACCACTGTGCACTTGCTTTATATTCTAAAAATATCAACCCAGCAATAGCATAGCTCAAATCACCTGCAAATCCAGAAGCCTACAGAAGAGGGAGAATTATATTACTATAGCAATACTAAATAAATATTAATAGAAAATTGAAGGACATTGAATACACTGGCCTTGCCAGTACACTTTTAAAAAGATAGTCCTAGAATGTCTCTGTGTACTAAAGGAGAATGCAAGTCAGAGTATTTTATGCCTAGTACTATATACTCAACTCTAGTCTAGCTCGCCTCCCAGCCTTGTGCTAGAACCACATCAAACTCTTTGGATGTTCTCCTAGACTTGTGTTCAGAATAAACTCCTACTGCAAGATATATATTGCAATCGCACAGTATCACTGAATGCTATTGACCTGTTCCAGAAATATGTCTCCAACTGTCGGTTTTTTTACTGCTGGCTTTAAAAAGTCCCCAATTATATTCCATCCGCCAAATCAGCAACTTAATCCAAAGAAAAGACATCTAAAACACTCATTCGTAGCCAAGATATTTTTTCAACAAATACCTGGCTATATTGTAAACATGTAAAAGTATATTTATACTAGAAACATATAAAGATTAGCCTCTCTGAACAGCCCTCATTTTCTAGAACCCTACAATACCAGCCACATGTAGCTGCTATGAATTGAGGTATTTTGCTAATTTGAATTGAAATATGCTCTAAATGTAAATTGCTCAACATTTAAACTTTAAAGACTTATTACCAAGAAATGTAAAATCTCAGTAATTTTTATACTAGTTACATGTTCAACTGATATTTTGGACATATTAAGCTAAATAGCAAATATTGTTATATGATTTTCCTATTCATTTTTTAAATGCAACCAGTAGAAATTTTTAAATTACATATGTGATAACATATATGGCTCACATTATATTTCCATTAGAGCTGACCAAGAAAGCTCTTTAATTTGGGTCCCAAAGACTTCCACAGTACAAGTCCAATACACACTTTTTTTCCTCTCTTGACTTCTGAACAAAAGTCATTTTATATTTATCAGTGGTTCTAACTTTAATCATCTAAAATAGCTGAAAATAATATTAAAGCCCCAGGCCCCACCCAGATCAATGAAATCAGAACCTCTGTGGACTGAACCCATACAATGTAATAATTGCTTTATAAAGCTGTCCAGTTGGTGGTAAGACAAGGTCAGAGTTAAAAGCACTATCCTCTACCTGCCACTGTCCCTTATTCCTTTGAGGAAGAAAGATACACACCACACAGCGCTGGATTCATAGGAGAAAAACTTGTTAACGTGATTCCTCAAGCTCAGTTTCCCATATTAGAGTAATATAGCTACTTAACCAAATTACACAGTTGTGAATACTACTAAATAACAAAGGCACCAATAAAGTATAGAGCATTATATGGAAGCAGTTCTGCTGTTGTCGTCAGTTGATCCGACTTCTGGTGGCCCCGTGTGCTTGCAGCCCAACTGCTCCATAGCATTTTCATGGCTGAGAACTTAATGGACATAGATTGCTAGGCCTTTGGGCACAATGTCCCTGGGTGGATTCAAACTACCAACCTTGAATTTGTCAGTGTCTGCAAAATAACTAGGAACCTTAGTTATTTTTTTCTCTCCACTCTTTTACAACTTTTATGCCCTATCCTCTCAAAAAAAAAATTTCTTAAAAATCCACTGCCATTGAGGCAAATCTGACTCACAGCGACCAACCCTAAATACAATCTCCAAATCTATAAATTTTTATGCACTCAGACAGCTTTATCCTTCTCTCCTGGAGTGGCAGTGGATTTGAAGAGGTGACCTTGAGGTTAGCAGGCCAAGGCTTGTCTCATAGCACCACTGGGGTTCCATTTCTCTCCTCTATAAAATCAGTTACATTCAAACTCCTTTGAAAGTCGATCCTGTTGCATAAGCCAATTAGTTTGCGTCCTTAATTAGAACTTTCTGCACCTCTAGTTATGATTTACTTACTCCTCAGTTTTAACAATGGTTGTTTACATCAAACATACAAAGCATCAATCTTTCAAGTACCCTGATCTCTTAACTAGATGTGAAAAAATTCAGAACTTATCATTCTGGTCTATTTTGAATTTCCCCTCTCTTCAAATTCATTCATTCAAGTACCTGTACAAGAATCACATTGGGGGGAGCGGGGAAGCACTATCAGTTTAAGGCATTTACGTACAGGAGAAATGACAAACAGCTCACTTCCCATTAGATCAAAGACCCTCACAGTTCCTGTACTTTCAGCATAGGCCAGCAGGGTACAATCATAACTCCATGCTACGCGTCTCCATTGGGGTTTGGGATCTTTAGGAACTAGGAAAGAAAAAAAAAGTGCTTTTAAACAAATGTATTATTATAAAGATGGTTAATACCTACAGTTACTGTAACCAAAGTATTCAACTACATTTCCTCATCTCGTAAGGATTGCTAAGGCTTCCAATTGAACAGAAAAGAATAGCTCGCTGAAGGCCACTTCATGTGAAAAGCAGGGAATATAAATGATAGCAAATTCTGCTCCACTTATTTTAAAAGAAAAGCCTACTGACATCAATCAATGGCCTAGTGAAGACTAAGCATAACCTAATCTGTTGAAGGCACAAGGCTATGCCTCAAAATACTTCTGAACGAGAGAGAAATCAGAGGCATGAAGAACAGGATGGAATCGTTTCAATCCAATGGGTTCTGCTCCTCAAAAGCTAGCTCTGAGAATCTGAACTGAGATTGTTGAAACATACCAGCTGTAAAGGCCAAGCAAATAGAAAAGCGAGACAATGGTGACATTGTATTAGGAAGGAATGAAAACACACACACACAAACACTTAATAGGCAGATGAATCAATCACATAAGATTTTGAATCAACATCTTGATAGTCTAATAGTTGGGGTTATTTTTCTCTCTCCTGAAATTTTCAATTTTCAATAGAGAGCAAGGCTATGTGCTGCATAAGAAAAGCAGTTATGAAATGCTACGGTGTTAGGTTTGAGTTTTAATTTTGCTTCAGTTTCCCCTTTACTAGAATCCCAGAAATTAACATTGATTATGCCAAGGCAATTGACTGTGCAGACCATGAAAAACACTGGATAACCTTGAGAAGAATGGAAATTCCAGAACACTTCATTGTGCTCAAGAGGAATTTGTACATGGGTCCAGAGGCAGTTGTACAAAAAGAAAAAGGGAACACTGCATGGTTTAAAGTCAGGAACGATGTGCAGCAGGGTTGTATCCTCTCGCCATATTGTTTAATCTGCATGCTGAGCAAATCATCAGAAAAGGTGGGTTATATGAAACTTAGTGTGGCATCAGGATTGAAGGAAGGCTTACTAACAAGTTTCAATATACAGATGACACAGCCTTGCTTGCTGAAAGTGAGGAGGACTTGAAACACTTGCTGATGAAGATCAAGGACTGCAGCCTTCAGTGTGGCCCAATACTCATTGTAAAGAAGGCCAAAATCCTCAGACTGAACTAATAGGTAACATCATGGAAAATGTAGAAAAGGTTAAAGTAGCCAAGGATTTTATCTGCTTGGATCCACAATCAATGGTCACGGAAGCAACAGACAGGAGATCAAAACACAAGTTACATTATGTATATCTACCAAACCATGGTAAGGATGGCACGGGACTGCTAAGTGCTTTGTTCTGTTGCGCATAAGGTCCCTACAGGTCAGAGCCTACTCAATGGCACCTAACGATGACAACAACCATCACTGTTTGACCACCAAGAACTCCTGGTGATTCAAGGACTCAAGGTCACACCCAGAGTAAAAAACTGAGCAAAGCCCTGAACCTAACTGCCTTGCCTTCTCCAACAGTGTGTGTTCCATTACAAGAGCCCATTCTATGACATCATTTCAGCCAAAACTTCAGCCCTTTTTTAAACAAAGCTTCAGAAATCCATGGCCTTTCTAGTTGCTGTTAATATCTCAGTTGAGATCTCATCCCTCTTACTTAGACCTTTACAAAAGCCCCCTAATCAGTCCTCTTGCCTTCAATCTCTTCCCCTCTAAACCTGCCTTCACATGACTCAAAGATATCCTACTGAACTGAATATATAGCATGTCCTTCTACTCTTAAATTCCTGATGACTGCCATTTCCAAAAGCACCAAATCCAAATTCCTCAAAATAAGCAAAAGACCCTATTTCTCCAGTTTCGCCTCCCACCACTTCCCAAGTACCACCCAGCCAATAACTTACCCATAGCACCACAACCTGACAAATCAGCTAGCTATGCAGACCAAAATGTCTGTCCTTCTGATATTCTGATACATATTACTTCAACTCCCTCATCTCCACCCTTACTCACCCTACCACACCCAAGTAAACTGTTGTCTCCTCCTTCCTGATGCTCTTCAAAATGGACTGCTCTTGTCTCTGAGCCCAAAGAGATTTTGTGCATATCTTTTATGGTATTTATCACATCATAACATGTTTTTTTTTAAACATTTTATTAGGGGCTCATACAACTGTTATCCCAATCCATACACACATCAATTGTGTAAAGCGCATTTGTACATCATTCTCAAAACATTTCCTCTCCACTTAAACCCCCGGCATTAGGTCCTCCTTTTTCCCCTCCCTCCCCGCTCCCCACTCCCTCATGAGACCCTGATAGTTTATAAATTGGTATTTTGTCATATCTTGCCCTGTCTGACGTCTCCCTTCACCCACTTTTCAGTTGTCTGTCCCCAGGGAGGAGGTCACATATAGTTCCTTGTAATCGATTCCCTCTTTCCTACACACTCTCCCTCTACCCTCCCTGTTTCGCCACTCACACCACTGGTCCTGCAGGGCTCATCCGTCCTGGATTCCCTGTATTTTCAGTTCCTATCTGTACCAATGTACCTCCTCTGGTCTAGCCAGACTTGCAAGGTCGAATTCGAGTCATGGTAGTGGGAGCGGGGAGGAAACCTTTAGGAACTAGAGGAAGGTTGTATTTCTCATCATTGTTACATCGCATCGCACCCTGACTGGCTCATCTCCTCCCCGAGACCCCTCTGCAAGGGGATCTCCAGTGGCCTACTAATGGGCTTTGGATCTCCACTCCACTCTCCCCCCATCATTCATAACATGTTTTTACATGTCAATTTCCCCTACAAGTTTGAGGCCCTTGAAATCACAATGTCTATTCCACACTGCCATTGGGCACCTGGAACACAAAGTAATTAATGTTTGACTAAGGAATGAAGGCTTAAGCGACTCAGGAAACTATGTTAACAGAGCAAGGTAATAGTGAGGTCATATCCTACAGGCACTGACGATTAAATAGAACTGAAGTCTTCCTCAAAACCTCACAGAAGCGCTGTAGGTTGCGGAAACCTCTTTACCTCTGCAATATATGTTCTGTATATGGGGAAAGTGTAACAGATGTCAAGGAGGTTCCTCTTTCAACACTCTCTCAATACTTGAGAAATGTGGAGGGTGCTTTTTTGCCAAGCAGTTCTTTTTATTTTTATTAGGTGACAATTAATATAGCATACAATCCAGCAGTTCAAACATATCAAAAAGGACTATGCAATCATCGCCACAATCGGTGTAGGCAATGGATGGACCTTCTTTTCTATCCTCTTTTACAAATTAAAGCTGACTCCCCATTCCCCCCTTCCATGTCCCCAGGTAGTCATCTATAGATAAATATACAAGATTCGGGAAGGCAACAAACAGGGATCATCCACAGTGACAGTATAAAATGGACTTCAATCTAAGAGAAAGCGGAGACTACTAAAAACTTAGAATAATTTCATATTGGGACCATAGAGTATCAAATTACAAGATATTACATTCCCGTCTAAGTACAGGTGCTGACCTCACAATACTGTCTGATAGTTGGACTGTTGACATTATCAGCCTATGTGCATTGTGAATTCACAATTGAGGCTCATCCAACATAAGGACGCTACCAATGGATTTGGGGCTCCACTATTGTCCATGTTGTTGTTCTCATTAGGCACCACTGAGTTGGTGTGGCCGCATAGGGACCTTATGCACAACAGGACGAAACATTTACCAGTGCTGCACCATCCTCACCCTGGTTCCCACGGCTGAGTCCATTGCTGTGGACACAGCATCAATGTATCTCGAAGGCCTTCCTCATTTTTGCTGCTCTTGTATTTTACCAAAGATGACGTCCTTTTTCAGGGATTGGACTCACCGGACAATACGTGCAAAATATGTATGACAAGATGTCACTCTCCCTGCCTCTAAGGAGCACTCTGGCTATACTTCACCAAAGACAGAGTTGTTTGTCCTTTGAGTAGCCCACGGTACTTTCAACTATTCTTCTCCAGCACCACAATTCAAATGCATCAATTCTTTCTTATCCAACTTGTCACATGTATATGAGGCAATGGAAAATACCATGGGTTGGGCCAGGCACATCATACTCGTCATAGTAACACCCTTGCTTTTCAATACTCTAAAGAGGTCTTGTGCAGCAGATTCACCTAATGCAACCCATCTTTTGATCTCTTGATCTTCCATGAGCATTGATGTGGATCCAAGCATGACAAAATCCTTGACGTCAATCTTTTCTCCATTTATCATGCTGTTATCCATTGGTCCAGTTGTGAAGATTTTGGTCTTCCTTACTTTGAATCATAATCCATACTGAAGGCTGTAATCCATACTGAAGATCTTCATCATCAAGTGCTTCTACTCTTCCTCACTTTGAACAAGCAAGGTTGTGTCAGCTGCATATCGCAACTTGTTAACAAGCCTTCCATCAATCCTGATGCCACATTCTTATTCCAATGATCCAACTTCTCTGATGATTTGGTCCGCATATAGATTGAATAAGTATAGTGAGAGGATACAGTCCGATCACACACCTTTCCTTACTTTAAACCATGCAGTATTATCCTCTTGTTTTGGTTACACAACTGCCTTTTGATCTATTACAGGTTCAGCAGAAGCATAAAAAGGGGTTCTGTAATTCCCATGCTTCTCAGGGTTATCCATAGTTTGTTATGATCCACACAGGCAAATGCCTTGGCATACTCCATTTAACATGAGTAAACATCTTTCTGGTACTTTCTGCTTTGAGCCAAGATCCATCTGACATCATTAATGAATCCAGCCTGAACCTCTGGAAGCTCCCTGTCAACTTATTGCTGCAACCATTGTTGGATGATTTTCAGCAAAATTTTACTTGCATGTGATGCCAATGATATCGGTCTATAATTTGAGCATTCTGTTGGGTCACCTTTCTTTGGAATGGGTACAAATATAGATCTCTTCCAGTCAGCTGGCCAAGTAGCTGCCTTCCAAATTTCTTGACACAGGCAAGTGCGTGCTTCCAGTAATTCATCAGCTT